TCCTAGACCGGTTTCCACCCAATCTGTCCTGTTATTTTACCCATAGATGGCAGGAGAAGAAATGGAAGAGAAAAAGAAAGCGTATTAACAACTAAGTGAATATAATGAACTTGACTGAAATTCGAACTCGGTTCTCCGATTCCAGAATCCGAGCCACAATCGAATACCCCAGAGTGCCTCAAATTCAATTATGTCCTCTTTAAATTAGATTTATTAAACTGAAATAATCAAACGAGTAAAAAATTAGAAAATTATTCAGGGAAGTATCCTCTCGGGAGTCTATTCTTAAAAGTATCAAAATGCAACATACAACTTCATGGTTTCGGTAAATTAAAAATATTCAACAATTACAAGAACATAAAGGAAAGCTTTCATTTTACAATAATAATATCTCTTCATTGGCTTCAATAAATAATCTAACGAAAATTATTAATTATGTTAATGTTGACTGCATTCAGTTAACGCCCCAGAGATTCATTCATTTTTAATACACAATATATTTAGCTCAGACATTTTTCTGTAATCGTATGCGTGATTTTATTTAGCGGCATATCAACCTCTATGGCGTATTTAATGTTGAAATCTAGATATTTAGAACACAATATTATGGCTTCAAATACGTACATATAAAATGTATTGTTGGTCCTTTTTTATACAAAATATTATTCTTTCATATTGATTGGTTGGTTGATTTTATTTAGCGGCATATCAACCTCTATGGCTTATTTAATATCGAAATCTAAATATTTAAAACACAATATTATGGCTTCAAATACGTACATATAAAATGAATTGTTGGTCCTTTTTTATACAAAATGTTATTCTTTCATATTGATTGGTTGGTTGATATATTTAGCGGCATATCAACCTCTATGGCTTATTTAATATCGAAATCTAAATATTTAGAACACGATATTATGGCTTCAAATACGTACATATAAAATGTATTGTTAGTCCTTTTTTATATAAAATATTACTTTCATATTGATTGGTTGGTTGATTTTATTTAACGGCATATCAACTTCTATGGCTTATTTAATGTCGAAATCTAAATATTTTGAACGCAATCGTTTGCCTTCAAGTACAGACAAAAGACATTGCTCATCATTTTCTTTAAAAACGTATTGCTCATAATTTTACTCTAAATAAGAATTGTTGGTAATCTTATTTTTATATTTTCATAATGTTTTGTTTCCGTTTGGGGGTCCACTATTTCCCATAGCTGTGACCCTAACAGGTGCTACCACCCTGGGTCAGGGGTTAACTATTTGCCCATAGCTGGGACCCTAACAGGTGCTACCACCCCGGGTCAGGAGTTAACTATTTGCCCATAGCTGGGACCCTAACAGCTTCTATTACCCAGGGTCAGGGGTTCACTATTTGCCCTTAGCTGGGACCCTAACAGGTGCTACCACGATGAGTTAGGGTGGAGCTGCGAACAACAGCAACTTCTAATATAAAATATATTTAGGTGCTTTTTCTATAAATATGTATTTCTGGTATTTTTATATAAAAATGTATTGCTGGTATTTTTTATTATAAAATGTATCTTTACATTTTCATCGATTTTTGCTTTTGTTTTGGTGTTCACTATTTGCCCATAACTGCAACGCTAGCAGGTGTTACCACCTCGGCTCTTTGTGAACCTGGGAACAAGAGCAATTAAGAGGTGTTTCCGCAATCCTCGAAACTTCTAATCTCCTGATCAGAGGCCTTGCTGCCGGATTTGGTTTATCCTCATACCCAGGACCGTGGAAACTCAGGTACATCAATCCCCTGGACAGCAATTCTACGGATGACCACATAGAATAATCAAGTACTGAAAGCCTGATCTGTATTAAGATAAATGGGAGTAAAATATATTCAGGTACATAAATAATTAGTACTAAATATTTACATTAACTACATTCGGACTATTATATTCATCGTTGTTGCTATTTTTAAAACCTTTCGGCAGTTGTCCTCTCCGGCCTTCATGAGATGCTTGTGAATCAGAGTAATGTTCACCGAATCTACTAAATTATTGTCGTTTTTTTCTCGAGAATATCTCATCTTGTGATTATTTAATACTGCTCAGTTATTACTCGCGCTTTTTGCAATGAATTTAAGTCTGCATTAACCGTGCAAGTGATTGAACTCACTATTATAGTAACACGAAATTCAAGAACAATTCTTTTAATCCGCTAAGCTACTGATTAATTAAATACATCAACCAAATATTGACGAGTTGCTAGTTTCTCAACGATAATGACTGGTGTTCAAACTTTTATTTTCTATCCTAATTTTTTAAACTATACAACTATTTTCCATTTTGTCCTTCCATTTGTCATTGTACTTGATAAAATCAAGTTTACTCACTTTTTTAATTTTTTTCCTGTGCATAGATTATTCTTTTTCTTTAAAATCTGTGACTTGTCTAGACTTCTTGGGAAAGATAGTGGAAAAGTTTCTCGTTGCATTCTCCACAGATTCCTTTACTTTATTATCTGTGAATTGCAATGACTTCTTGGGAAAGACAGTGGAGTGGTTTCTCGATGCTTTCTCCAAAGATTCCTTTTCTCTTTTATCTGTAAATTGCCATGACTTCTTGGGAAAGATATTGGGTTGGTTCCGCAATGCATTTTCCACAGATTCCGTCTCTTGATTATATATGAATTTCCATGAATTCTTGGAAAAAACATTAGTGTGGTTTCCCATTGCCTTCTTCAAAGATTCCATTTATTTATTATCTGTGAAATGCCAAAACTTCTTGGAAAAGTGAAGTGGTTTCCCAATGCAATCTCCGCAGATTCCTTTTCGCTCTTATCTGTAAATTGCCTCAAAGTAGCAGTTTAGGTTTGCTTTATGGACATACGAAAAAAAGAGTAAGAATCGGAGAAAATATGTAGGATAACTAACTGTTGACCTTGGGCTTGAAGAGGTTAAGATTAGGAAGTTCTATCAGCGTTCCACTGGAGAAGCAAAAGACAGAGTCTCTTGCGCCTTAATTGGAAGAAGATTCCACGTTCGAACAAATCTCCCAAAGCCTCACACTCGTATGGTGATATTGATGACGATGACCAGCAACAATTTTACATATGAAAGATTTCATCCAGGTTTTCTTACAATGACAGCGTCGCACGTAAGTCATATAAATAATAACTCCCTATCACAAAAATTCAGACAGTAAAGAAAACACTAAATATTCTCATTTATTATATTAAAATATTTTATCAAGTTTTGTCATTTCAAACAGAAAAAAACAAATATTTATGATTTTTTGATATTAACAATACTTGAACCACATTTGTTACTTTAGAGGTAAGGAAACATCAGCTGTTGCCGTTTTAAAAATATTTAAACTGGTTTTTCTTTTCAATTCTCAAAGAAAGAAAAAACACCAACTGTTGCGATTTTTGATATTAAAAATATCTGAACCACATTTGTCACTTCAGAGAGAAAACACGCCGACCATGGTGGATATTTGATATTAAAAATATCTGAACCACATTTGTCACTTCAGAGACGAAAACACGCCGACCATGGTGGATATTTGATATTAAAAATATCTGAACCGCATTTGTCACTTCAGAGACGAAAACACGCTGACCATGGTGGATATTTGATATTAAAAATATCTGAACCGCATTTGTCACTTCAGAGACGAAAACACGCCGACCATGGTGGATATTTGATATTAAAAATATCTGAAATACTTGTGTTACTTTAGACAAATGAAAACACCAACTATTGCCGTTTTTACATTAAAAATATTTGAATAAGTTTTGTCAATTTTAAAAGTAGACACAAACTGTTTTGGGTTTTGATATTAAAAAAATGTGAACCTTCAATGGGAAAAAGCAGATTTTTGTCATTAAAACAAACAGAAACATTTGTTTTTTTGTTTTTTTTTTACATTAGAAATTCTTGTCTACATATTTGTTATTTGAAACAGAAACACAGAAAGTATTGCTGTATTTTTCATGAAAAATATTTTAACAACTTTTGTCACTTTACTCTCAATGTTTTGCATTGAAAATAAGAAAAAAGTAGAATTTTTATCGATGATCAAAAAAGGCAAACATAATCGAGAGGAATTTTGTACAGAATCTAAATGCGCTTTTAGGAGATACCGGTAATATTCTCACCATTCTATCGTCAAAATATTACCAATATATCATAAAATTATCAGAATTTCAATAGATTTTAATGCCTTTCTAACGCATTAAAATAGGACAAAATATATTTTCATTGGTCAGGAATTAAAGCGGAATTTAATGGTCGAATAAATTTTATACATATAAATAAAGCAGACATATTTTTTCAATTTTTACTATTAAATGCATAGTAAATAATTTCTCTATAAAAGTCACTCACAATCACGAATTTTATTGCGGTTCTCAGACATCAATAAAAGTATTACCGCTATTTTATTTTACTTAATTTTATTATTGGAATCATTTTGTTATGGATTGTATTTTAATGATTTCTCTCATTTTACATTTAACACGTTATAATTGCGATGGTTTTCATTCTCTATTAGAAATGTTTAAGGCCTAATTCAACGTGAACAAGAGCAATAGTATATAAAGGCCAAAGAACGAAATATAATACGAAAAACAATATTCAATTTAAGCAAAAGAAAACAGCAAAAACTAGACTCAAGTGTATTTAATGAGAACCAATGAGGACAATTCACCGCAGCCCCCAGCACAAAAATTCGTGCAACCGCCATAACAGCCTGAAGCAATAAAAAAATGTGCAGGAACAGAAAACAAAGAAAGATGGGGAAACAGTTTAGAAGATTATTGAAAGTGGAAGTAGCTGGATGTCGATTTGGGCGGTAAATGATCGTTCCCGGCCATGGAGGAATTGAAAGATAAAGAAATAAAGAAAATACAAAACTGCTGTGAACTTTCATATCAGCCATTGTCGTCTGCTAGACAATGACGTGCGGTCAGCCAATATATTAAAAATACAATGCGATAATGGAAGAAAAAGGAACGTAGAAAATAAGTGAGTTAAATAAAAGAAAAAAAACAATGTAATAGAAAATCAAGATGGCGGACAAAACGAACAAGAAAAGAAGGCGAGAATGGCAGCAAAACAGCAAGGAAAGTTGTGGAAAGGTTGAAAGTTAGGAAGATACAAGGAGAAAAGAGATATCGACAAACTAGTTCGAGGAAATATGATAACAAGATTGGCTGTGAGGCAAAAAGTGAAACAACATAATGGAGGCAAATATGTTTTTGATAATAAGTATAACAACAACAATAGATAGATAGATAGATAGATAGATAGATAGATAGATATGAACAGACTGAGTTAGATAGATAGATAGATAGATAGATAGATAGATATGAACAGACTGAGATAGATAGATAGATAGATAGATAGATAGATAGATAGATAGATAGATAGATAGATAGATATGAACAGACTGAGATAGATAGATAGAGAGATAGATAGATAGATAGATAGATAGATACTGAACCAACAGGAACAGATACAGAGTTCCGTTTTGAAATTTTTATCGATCCTTTCAACGCTTCTAATAGATTTAGGAAAATTGCATCAACAAAACATTGATTCATGATAATACTAACGAGGTGGGGGTGGAGACAATCCCGGCATTTGATATATTTTGTGTAAAACCATATAATTGTTGAGTAAAATTGGCTTGACTGAACTATTCAGAAGATAAAATAATCTCTGCAAGTAACTTTGCAAAACATATTTGTAGTATAAACAGCAGAGCAGACATCTGTCCCAGGACTTGGTTAGTCTCGCTGAGAGACAGGTTTATCATAAACGCTTTTAGACGGTCATGATTATATATATTTTAAAATGTTTTCTACATAGTAATTACTTTCAAAAACCTCCAATATCGTTATTGTCTTATCCAGAATGCTAAGAGAAAGGCAATACCGGATATACGACAGCAAAAAAGATAACGATATTATTAACAACAATAAACTAGATAAAAACACATACTACTACCTACTAACGCCATAACATCCATTATACAAAACAATTTATCTAATCTAAACATCATAAAAATAATTACACCCACATCCAAAATTATTATGGATAGATGAGAACGAAAAATGCCCATAACAATAATAATTCTGAAGCAGGTAGATATAAAATAAATTACCAGAACTGTTCCTTACAATACACTGGGAAAATGCGCAGAAACTTTTAAAATACGTGTCTCTGAACACAAAAGGGACTGTGTACAGAATAATCTATCAAATACATTAGTTATACATAGATTCAACCAGAACTTTGATCTAAAGAATGCTTCATTTATAATGTATATATAAAATAAATTACCAGAACTGTTCCTTACAGTACACTGAGAAAACGTGCAGAAAGTTTTTAAAACAACGTGTCTCTGAACACAAAAGGGACTTTGTACAGAATAATCTATCAAATACATTAGTTATACATAGATTCAACCACAACTTTGATCTAAAGAATGCTGCATTTATAATGTATATATAAAATAAATTACCAGAACTTTTCCTTACAATACGCTAGGAAAACGTTCAGAAGTTTAAACGTGTCTCTGAACGCAAAAGGGATCTTATACAGAATAATCTATCAAATACATTAGTTATACATAGATTCAACCACAAATTTGATCTAAAGAATGCGGCATTTATCAAAAGAGAAAGGAACTTACTTAGAAGGAAAATTCTCGAGAGTGTCGCTATGGAATCTTATCAGAATATAAATCTGCGCCACGGGTTTTTTCAATATCTCCATTCATGAATGATTTACTAGTTTCCCAATCAAAACATACATTTTACTATAAAATTGATAAAAATAAAAGAATACGGTTAAATTCATAACTTTGTATTATTTAAAATATATGACACTAAGATAATTTAAATAGTAATTTGCATAAAAATATAGTAAACATCGCTTACTTACTTTCATTTATTAGACAGAGAATTGTGTCACTTCGGGCCCTCCATAGTTTGCCTGATTTTTCTGCAAACCTGAAAATTTAGGAGCGTTTCCAATTTTAAAAATGTTGAAGAACAAATAACACTTTTGCTTTTGCCATTATCAAATATGATTTTATTTTTATTTTTAACTGAATATATGGATTGTTTTATGTATGAATCTATCTATCTCAATCTGTTTATATCTATCTATCTAGCTATCTATTGAGTGTTGGCCTTTTCCTTTTTTATTAATAATGCTACTATTTCTTTTAATGTAAAGATCCAAATTACAGAGAATCAATATTATTTACGAATTCACATGTCCCTTAAGGAAATGTGTTTCTGATAAAACCAAATTCATGAATAATTCTATTGGATATACTACAACAATTCATACAAGAAGACTTACGTTACATCTCTCTGACCATAGCTCAATTAGGTCTGATTTCAATACATATGGCGACCTACCAAAATCTATCCGAAAAATACTCGTTAATGTTACAAATATAATACAAATATAATTCACATAGAGATATGAAGACACTGAGATAGATAGATAGATAGATAGATAGATAGATAGATAGATAGATAGATAGATATGAACAAACTAAGATAGATAGATAGATAGATAGATAGATAGATAGATAGATAATGAACAAAGACAGATAATGAATAGACTCAGATAGATAGATAGATAGATAGATAGATAGATAGATAGATAGATAGATAGATAGATAGATAGATAGGAGACTAAGATAGATAGATAATTAAGAGACTAAGATAGATAGATAGATAGATAGATAGATAGATAGATAGATGTGAAAAAACTGAGATAGATACATGTGAATTTGATAACAACCATTTAACTTACTATGCATAATTATTTGTTCAAATTCTAAAATGACCAGTGCAATGAAGAATTTTTGATTCTGTTATGGGACCTTACCCATAATAACATGATTGACTATTCCATACATAATAAATACTGCGCCTCAAGAGGAAGCAGAGAGTTCAGTCTGAAGTCGGGCGACCGGCTGACCGGCTGATCGGTTGAACTTTCTGCCTTCGGGCTGGGACGAACCCGAACGAGGCTACGCCGAAGGGTGGAGTCTCTTTCGGGGAGGTAAACCGACCCTGAACCTGTATATACAGGTTCAAAGTTTTTGGCAGAGCCCGCGGGCTCGGAGATCCCACGTTAAATCAGCCTTGTGCCACATGATGCCCTCGTGGGGGGGTGACTAAATACTGTTCAGTCTTAAGTCTGGAGTGAGGTCCGTCAGAAGTCCGTCAGTCAGAACGAGTCAGTCAGTCGAGTCAGAGGCAGTCCGAACAGAGTCGCGTTCAGACAATTACTCCTAAATCTGATTGTTCGTACTAACACTTTCTACTTCTCTGTATATATTTCTGTTTGTAATATATCTGTGTTATTCCATATACGTGTTCGAGTTCTTCTTTATTGGTTCTGCCTTGGACTATCACCGTGGTTCAAGGAACCGGACCATAACAGATTCTTGGATAAATCATGAAAATCTCGGTCGTACGGATTACAAAATGACAACCCATTAATTTTTTAAATTAAAACATTTTTCTTTTATACTTTGATTCGTTCAATTTATTCCAACTATTGTTCTCGTCTTTGCTTTGTTAGAAATTAGGTTGTTTAGAAAATAATGTCCGATTTTAGAATAAAAACTTTAATTTTCTACCAAAATATTATAATAATAGTTTCATCAAAATAGTTTCATTTTACAGATTCGCAACGGTTAACGAGGCCTCTGTTAATTTTATATCAATCACTTTTAGAATTTACAAGAATTTAAAAGAATTGATGTCTATATCAAGCTTACAGCAAAACTGGATCCATTATAGCTGGCGAGATGTGATTCATTCGTTTCGGTTGTCACAGAGTTTAACATGACGCTGATTCAAAACGACATGCTAACAGCAGGCTGAAGAATGGAGAGTCGGGTGTTTCTCAAAATGTTCTTTATAATCCAGTCTATGGGAATCGGGTGGTGTTAAAAATGAACATAGACAAGAATTCCAGGATATATATTTAGTTGCTTGTTCGGAAAATAATGTGCGATTTTAGAATAAACATTTTATGTTCGAATATAATAGTTGCTCATCTATAATATAATCTATTGCTCATTCCGAATGATTAAAATGTCAACTTTGTTAATTTTATATCAATCTCTTTCAGAATTGAACTTAAAACATTATATAGCCGTCATTTTGAACAAGAAAAAAGAGAAGATATGCGTTTACTTATTCAAACTTTGTCATAATGCTTCTCAAACTTCTGGCGACATTAACAGAGCATGGAGTGAAGGATCCATATGTAATTGGACAGTAAGTCGCCGGTTTCAGAAGTTCCGCAGTATGGATATGAGTCTTGAAAATCAACGTTTCAGAGGACGACCATCTGCAATCGGCAATCAGCATCTGAAAACACTGGTCGAATCCAAATCCATGTCAAAGTGTCAGAGAAATGTCTCGGATAACGGGTGTCGGCATTTCAAGAATATGGGACCATCTCAAGGTAACGTGCAAGGTGAAGAAATTCGATAAACTGGTTACAAATAATCTCAGTGGAAGTCAAAGATTTTGACTTCTTCAAATGTGTTCGACATGCGAAATTTGAATAGTTCATTTTTTGAGCGCATAATGACTTGAGATTAGAAATAGACATTTTATATCCACAGAAAAGATCGGCCCAAAGGCTTCAACATGACGAAATCAAGACTGCACCAATAAAAAATTATGGCAACTGTCTGATGGTCGGCCATTGGCGTTATCCATTACGGCTTTCTGTAATCTAACCAGAACATCACTGCCGAAGCTTACAGCCAGCAAAATGCGACCGGCACTCTTTAGTCAACGACGTGCAATTATGCTTCATGGTTTGGTTTATTTTCTTTTACGGCATATCAACACCTCAATGGGTTAATTAGTGCCGACAACACTTTTAGGATAGATTCGTATGAATAGAATATGTATTCTTTGGTTTAGATTGGTTTGGTTTGGTTTGTTTTACGGCATATATACCTCAATGGGTCATTTACTGCCGACAATTTTTTTTCCTGGTAATATTTTTGTTTTTTCAAAAATCTTTTTCTGGTAATATTTTCCACAAAAACGTATAGCTGGTAATATTATTTTTTAAAAACGTATAGCTTATTATTTTTTCAAAAACGCATAGCTGTTAATATTTTTTTCAAAAACATATTGCTGGTAATTTTTTTTTCTTCAGACATTTATTTCTGGTAATAATTTTTTACAAAGTATTTCTGGTATTAAAACCTATTTTTACACTTTTATGATGCCTTTTACCTCAGTTTCTGGGTGAACTATTTGCCCATAGCTTGGTCTGTAACAGGTGTTACCACCCCGGGTCAGGGCGGACCTGGGAACACCAGCAATTAAGAGGTGGTTCCATTCTCCAGAGGCCTTGCTGTTGGACGTAGTTTATCGTCATACCCAGGACGCTCTGCTTCATTAGAATGCTCAATAGGGATGGAAATGTAGAACCATACCAATTTGGGATTGGAGACTTTGTCACTGATCTCTCGCTCAATGACTACCACTTTTTCAAATATCTTGACAACTTTTAACCCAAAAGACACTGCGTTGCAAAGAAGATTCAGAAACTGCATTCAAAGATTTCTTGACATCCAAACATTTAACTTTTTTTCATAAAGAAACTTGTAATTCGATGGCAGAAATATATAGATGTTCAGTGTTCCTATTTTGACTGATTGAAAAAGTGTTTAAATACATTCGTTCAGGAATAAAATTTGATTCTAAAATCGTACATTATTTTCCTAGCATCGTCATAATAGCCACCACATTTCAGTCAAGTATCTTCTGGTTATCTTCAGGTACTGATTATTTTGCCTGATACGATATAACTTGCATGTTTTGATTACTGTGTTATTGTCATCCCTGTAATAAGTTTTCTTGTTTCATTCTAATGAAAGTTAGAATAAAGATTTCGTTACCTTATCTAGGAACTGAACTGCGAAAACTACGTGACAAAATCACTTAATTTATAAACGCCTATATCCGCAATGTTGCTATTACGAAGGATACCCGTATTGTATTTGTTGAAGTTTCTCGTAGTTAAATCCAGAGTTCAATGTTGTAATTAAAGTTTCTTGGTGTTCAGCAACTATGAAACATTTGAAAATATTATGTTTTACTGTACTTCTAACGCTGAAGAGCTCCTTAAATACTTCTATGAAAATGTCCAAATGTCTCTTGCTTGTATCAGATGAAAAATACTTTTAATAAGAACAAAATTTGGTGATGATGGCACACCAACAATCCGTTCTTACAAAGATTTTTGTATATTATTTCAGAACTTCTTGGTCTATTACTGTAACTTAAACCTTTTAAAGAACTTGGCAAGAAACGAAAACGTGCTAGTAAGAAAAAATATTTCTAAATGAACGTAACGAAAAATTATTAGACATGTTATAGGAATGAAATCAAAAGTTTATGTCTTTTTTTTAAATGAGCAAATCAACAAGGTAAAACAATTATTAGAATCTTCTGTTCACATGTAGGCCAAATATTTCTGGTTCGATCTAAGCCGAAACCATATTTGTTTGAGTACCAAAAGAAGTGGGAAAATATGATCCTCAACAAAAAACATAATGATCAGCTGAATTTCATATAAGCAGTCGACAAACACTTCGATTTCGACAAGACTTCTGGAAAAAAGTTCTGGTACTTTTCTTATTTTTGCGTTGTTTGTTTTGTTTTCACTTGTTCAACAACGTTAGCATAATTTATGGCGTTCAGACTTCAAGAAGAGACAACGAGTCCTTTCGATTCTCCAAGAAATTAATGGATTCGAAGCCTATCTGAAAAAAAAGTAATTAATGCTTTATGTTTGTATGTGTGTCATAAATATAGTTTTGCTCTGTGAAATTCAGATGATAATGTATATCCGTAAGTGTGTGGGTGTGTATGTCGAGTAAACATTATGTTTGACGGTTGTTCACATGTTGATTAAGAATGGATTTAATTAAGATTGATGTAACATACTGTTTTTGACGTGTCTTTATAGTTGATAACATATTTGTCATGACTCCCTCGAAGTACTTACGATGTAAATAATTATGGTCTTTTTTAATAAAGCAAGCAACACAAAAAGAAAAATATCAGAATGTCTTTCTCCTTTTTTCTCCAATTCTCTGATGATGATTTTAATAAAAGTGAAACATGCTAGATTGATTTTCTATTTATTCTTTATCCTATCAAGTTTTTATCTCTATTCTATATTAATAAAAGGCAGTACTCTGTCATGTTCTATAATTCTTTTTTTTTAAAAAAAAGGTAAATTAATGTAATAGTCTCCAAACTCTCAGATATTAATTTAATTCAAAAATTGCACATTATTACAACAAAACGCCTGGAAATAAATACTCAAGAAAAAGAATTTGTTTGCGAATCAATAACAAAAATACTGTAAATAACACAAAAATCGAATCTGTAGAAAATATTCGATAATTAAGATTGATTGAGATATTGTGTTAATTAATGTGTTAATTAAATGCATGTTTCTTTCAATATTTTTTATTTATTTATAAATTAAAGTTTATATGGTTTTTTCCCCATAATAAAACCTTACATTACACTCAGAATATTATAAATATTTTTACTAAGTCTAAATATATTGTTCATATAAAGATAAGTATATCCTGAAATTATTACCAATATTAGTTGGTTAGTACCATTCGTGAAAAAAAAAACATTGACTTGCATAATGAAATTTGACGTAGCGTAGTAATTCTAGAGTGGATGTGTTTATTACTTAATGACAATAGAAAACCGA